TCAAGAAACATTTCTTATTATCAGTGTTGAAAACAGTTGTGCTACTTAATATTTTTGTGGAGACCGTTATAGATTTTTTTTTCAGGATTACAGGAATATTTAATGAATAGAAAGTTCAAAAGAACAGTATTTATTTGAAATAGAAGAAACATTGCATTTATATATATATATATATATATATATATATATATATATATATGCAATAAATATAGACACACTTATGTCTTTGCTGTCAATTTAGATCAATTTAATGCATCCTCACTAAATATATATATTGTAATTTAAAATACAGTCTAATGCAGCGTTTCTCAACTGGTGGGTCGTGACCCAAAAGAGGGTTGCAAGACCGTTCTGAGTAGTTTGAGGAGTGTATAGTCAAATAAACAACATCAACAGCAAAAAAGTAATTCTAAAATCTGATGTGAAACTTTTATTTTGAAAGACATGCGTGAAAGCTGTTGACACTTCTGTCATTTTAAGTAAATGCAGATGCAGTTTAAGTAAAGAGTGCCTGAGAAAAACACGCTGTCCCGATTCAATATCTGCAGTCAGATGAGATGTTGTCAGGCTTAATGTCAGTGTCATTATTCTGTCGTCGTTTTCGTAACTTGTTACAAAATAAAAAGTCTCACACTCATGTTGTTTCAAACCTGTATGACTTACTTTCTTTTGTGGAACATAGAAGGTATTTTGAAGAATGTTGGTAACAAAGCTGTTTTGGTTACCAATGACTTTCATTGCATGAACAATAAATACTGAGATGTTTCTCAAATCATCTTCTTTATGTTTATGTTAGGTTGTTGTAACCTAAACATTTAAGTGTAAAAAATGTTATGTTGAATTTTCTTTAAAGCTGCTATTTAATGTCTACTTGATACTTTTCGCATTTAACACAATAATAGCTTTAAATTATCTTTTGTGGGTATTTTCAAAGCCAAATTGAGTTTGCGATTAATTAGATTAATTAATTGCCACATCCTGTAATTAATTAGATAAAAAATTTTAATCGACTGACAGACTGACAATCGAAATTTTTTAATCGACTGACATATATACATATATATTAGGGGTGTCCTCGACAGTCATAATTACTGACGTTAACACACAGTGAAAATGTGTAACGGACGCCTCGCAGATACAAACGGGGTAAATAATGGGATTTAACTCATCATTTATCTCATATAGAATAGGCCTACGCTTCGTTATTTATACAACATAACGTTAATATGTCGACTTAGGCTATAGGCTATCTGCACAAAATGCCCCAAATGCATGAACGTGTCTGCACGGCTCTGAATGAACTCCTTTTGTGAACACGTTCTTCACGCAACAACGTGCAGAAACGGCAACTAAACTCTAAAAATTCACAGCGTTTTATTATAATAGTGTTCTCATTATAATTAGGGCTGGGTTTACATAAATTAAACATTGAAGAGCAGTAAAAATTATAATGAATATGTTATATGGTGCATATATTTAGCAAAATGCCCCCTCTCTACAGTTTAATTTTCTATCTGACTAATGAGTTTATGGTCACCAAATATGTTTTTTTTCTGAGGTAAATGTGACGTTACGTGACTTTGTTTACAAGCGTTATATTGACGTCTTTGTGCGGCTGAAACACTGATTGAGCGATTACATGAGACAGGATATGGATTGTAAAGTTGTACTCTTTTTAGTCATGTTTATTTTGTGCTGACACTGGTATTAATGTGGAGGAGACGATCAGTCCACGTGCGCTACACGCTGCCGCTTATTACTGAACTGAGGCGCGCCGCGCTACAGCGATCTGTCACTCCACATTAAACAGTGCTAAAACGGCATTTATTGTTTAAAGGCACAATATGTAAGATTTTTTTATTAAAATATCCAAAAACCACTAGAACGGTGTTATATATTTTGCTGACTTGTGTACTTACATTATCCCAAATGTTTCCAAGAATGTTTAAATCCAGAGAAATAAGCAATTTTAACTAGTGACACGGACCGTGTTCATAGTGTCATTGTGTCGCCTGCCAATAACATCATAACCCCTCGATTTCCGGTTTTGTTTTGTAGAAACATGGAAACACCAAAGACGCTTTAATATGTTGTGCGTTTTAATAGACCTGTGACAACCGCACAGAGTAGCATTATAACAGAACTTTCAAATGTATCTAGTATAATAAAACAGCGCTGTTTTTTTACCCCCCACATACGCATGACCGGAAGGAGCGGAAGCGGTCGACTGTGGCATAATAAAAGCTCCGCTGCTTTCGAGCCATGTGTCGCGCTTGTTCAGTGGCCTCGTTTCGCTTCGACGGCTTTCAGCCTCACCCTGCTTCATTCTACTACGTTAATAAATCATTAGCTCATCCATGAACATGATTTCTGCCCGAGTCCCGTCGGATTGCATCGGCTGTGGGGATGAAGACGACAACTCCCATGATTCCACACTCAGTCACGGCGTCATCAAACTACGCCTTTGTCTATTTGTTTATTTTGAATACGCGCCCTCTAGCGGCGAAAA